AGTAAGGGACGAAACGTTCAACAAGGTCATAATAAATTGTTCATCAAATTTATTAAATGTCTTTAATTTCCCTTTGAAACTCATATATATATATTTTTTAATTATTTATTAAAATAATAATCACAAGAAAAAAAAAAAAAGAAATTTAATTACAGTCTCGTATTAATAAAAAAAAATGTTCGTAAGAACAAACAAACTTACTTTGGAATGAATTCAGTATCATTTAAACTAGCTTACACTTATGGCACATATGCAACACACACAAACAAAATGAATTTAATTGAATATTATTATTTCTAATTGAAAGATAATGATGAAAAATCATTGAAAATCTTTAATCTTTCATCTTTCATCTTTCATACGTAGCATATTCAAACGAAATACGTAACATTTTCGCAAGCTGTAAGCTATGAACATATACACACATATATATATGATGCATGCATAGATGCACATATACATACATAAATGATCAAAAATAGCTATTCCAGGTTGTTAGACATCTTCGTGGAACGTCTCGCAGCTGTATCTTTTGACGATGGTAGTTAGCTTTGACGAGAACATGGTAATACATTTTTCTGCATTGCAATGGTTTACATATTGTGTGAAATAAGGGAGAAGAGAAAGTGCAGGAAAGAGTTTCGAGTGATGAAAAAACATGGCTACTTTACATGGAAAAGCTCATATGTTATACAGTACATAGATATATATATACTTTTGTAAGTTCTCATAAAACATGGAAAAATGTATACAGTAGTACACTTGAATATGCATCCACTATACTTACACATACGTACGCATGTATCTTGCACCTCTCAAGTGTATGCTACACACGCGCGTGTATGTGCGTGTGTGTGTGTGTCCGTGAGAGAAAGAGCTACTTCTTTTCTTTTATTTTTCTATTTTTTTTCTTTTTTTTTTCACCCTTATGAAAATACATCCCTCATCATGCTTTTCAAGATAAAACGTGTAATTTTTGTGCAGTTGGAAAATTTATTTTCATACGTTTAACCTACTTTTTTTTTTAGTGTCCATTCGATATTTGTTTATCTCTCTGTCTCTCTTTTATTTTTATTAAATTTAATTATTAT